AAAAAAAAAAAAAAAAAAAAAAAAAAAAAACCCACGGAAAGAAAAAAAAAAAAAAAAAATGGAGAAGCAGCCCTTGTGCCCTCACAGCTCACCAGCCTCGTGGTGGCACAGATACATAAACACTTGGCTACAGTACAATGTCACACACACACCTATCTGGATAACAAACCTGGTCCTTTTGGGTGGCTGGCTGGTATGGGGATCTGAACCCTTGACCTTCATGTTGTAACACTGTGCTCTAGTCAACTGAGCTAACTGGCCAGCCCTGTATAATAAATCTTTACTGAGCACCCTCTAGATGCTTCTAGGTGCTGGAGATACATCAATAAACAAGACAGCAAAACATCCCTGTCTGCATAGAGCAGACATTATAGTGACGAAAGACAGATAATAGGCAAAATAAAAAAACATAATGAATAAGTTGAACTTTCACGAGAAAGGAGAACTGTGATTACTAGAGACAGGAAAGGGAAAAGGAGAATGGGGATAGTGAGAGGTTGGTTAATGGACACAGCACAAAGAAAGGATTAAGTTTTGTAATGATGGATATGCTAATTACCCTGATTTGATCATCATACATTGTATACATATATTGATATATATAACTCTGTACCCCACAAATATGTATAATCAATACACTTAAATAAAAACAAAACACATAACCATAGCATATTAGGTGGTGATAAGTGTTATGGAGAAAAACTAAGCAAAGCAGGAAGGGACAGGGAGGTCATTTTATACCTGCACCAGTTTCAGATAATCCTCATAGCTCTGTTAAATGTACCTCTATGTGCGTTAAAGTTCCACCAAAGAACAAGGATACGAAAGGACACACGAGGGAATGAGTGACTTCTGGGTGTGTGGAGACAGGGCAGCAACCAAGTTCCTGTCCCTTCCCTTCCCATGCAGGACTCTTCCTCATGCCACTGCACAGGCTGCAGAGTGTGAATCAACTGACCGACTCCACAGAGCGTTTCCAGCAAGGACTGAACACCTGTGTCTCTCTCCTTTGCCAAAACATATGCATCTCCTCCCAGCCAATGTTATACGCCTATCCAATTATGTCAGCCTTTCCTGGGTTGTGAGTGTCAGTGACAATTTGGGGGACTTTTTAATCATAAAAGGAACACATACATGATCACAACAAAAATTATGAATAAAAACCAGAAGCATAAAGATTCCCAATATTCTTACCCCCAGTGCTACCTCTGTTCACATTTTGGTGGGTTTTTTTTTGCCAGAATTATTATTTAACATCATTAGGACCACTCTGCATCCATATAATTTTGTATCCTGCTCTTTTTATTTTTACGACATATGCAATTTTACTACATATGTAATATTTAAATTATTACATGTACACTTTTCTGTTTAAAACAAATTCTGTATAAACATCATTTTAATGGCTATATAACATTCCATCCCACTGATGCACTACCCTTTATTAGCCATTTCCCAATTATTGGGTAGTTAGGTTTCTAAGTTTTCATAATTATAAATTACCTTGAACATAACTCTATACTGAAAGGTATTTCCAGTAGTTCCCTCAGAATAGATCCCTACAAGGAGAATTATGAGAAACTGGAAGGGTTTTAAACAAACATTCACTGCTCAGATGGCCCACAGTTGACCCAATGTAACCACTGCACCTCCTGGCTGCAGAGGCAGAATACAGAGGCTAGCCATCTCTTGCCACCCTTTCGGTCTTGATGGTAAATGGTTTCAGAAGCAATATATTTACCTGCTGTCGGAATCCGAGGCAATCTCCTTTCTCCCTCCAAAGCGTATCTGGCACTGCACAGAAAAAGAAGCTGCTGAGATCAGCTGTTGGGATGGGACACTCAAAATGTCACAAAACAGCCCACAGAAGGCACCAGGGTCAGGAGGGCGATACAGGGCCAGAAACTCCGGGTGCCGAGTCAGGGTGTCCCTATGCCCTGGGTATCAGCACAAGACTTGAGAAAGTGGGCACCCCAGCCTTCAAGCTGACACTTAAAGGAAGTCCTTATCTCCCACTAGTACAGAAGTGAGCTTTGTGAGAAAACAATGCTACCAGGAAAACAAAAGCACACAGCCATCTGTGAGTTATCTAGGAAGCTGCTGCTGTCTGTCAGCAGCTGCCGGTCTGTAACACGGAGCTCTTAGCAGGCGATAATTAAAACTTCCACAAATTTGAGATGATGGTTCCCTTTTGACAGAGCTCCAGAGTTGTTGTGACTGGCTATAAAATTACGACAGCATAAATCAACCTTCAAACAAGTCATCTGGCTGTGGTGAACAACAATTTGCCCAAGGTGGGTAAAAACGAAAAGCAAACTACTCACTTTTTTTTTAATTATAGTAAAATATAGTTAACATAAAATTTACCATTTTAACCATTTTTAAGTGTAAAACTCAATTCACAATGTTGTACAACCAACACCACTATCCACTATTCTCTTTTAAAGGTATAGGATTTCTGCTATGGGGAGCAGGTTCGCAAAATTCCTAAACTTATGATCAAAAGTACACATATACAACTTGAAATGATGCATTTGTCAAAACTCGAAACTTGACACTTAAAGTGGTACACAAGGGTACTTCAAAAAGTTCATGGAAAAGGGCCGACCCCGTGGCTCATTCGGGAGAGTGCAGCGCTGGGTGTGCCACAGCCGCGGGTTCAGATCCTATATAGGGATGGCCGGTGCGCTCACTGGCTGAGCACAGTGCGGACGACACCAAGCCAAGGGTTACGATCCCCTTACCGGTCACAAAAAAAAAAAGTTCATGGAAAGATTCATATTATCTTTCAATTCTATTTTTCCATGAACTTTTTGAAGTACCTTCATATTTATTATATGTGAATTATATTATCAATAAAGCTGATTTTTAAAAGACATATACGGGCCAAGCCCGTGGCGCACTCGGGAGAGTGTGGCGCTGGGAGCGCAGTAGTGCTCCTGCCGCGGGTTTGGATCCTATATAGGGATGACCGGTACACTCACAGTGCTCACTGGCTGAGTGCGGTGCGGCCGGTCTCAAAAAGGACAAAAAAAATAATAATAATAAAAAAATAAAAGACATATACAACCACTTTAACCCCCCAAAATAATGATAATAGCAGAAGCTCTTCGCATAAGCTCCAACTTATTTCATTTAAATGCTGCATTTATAGCAGTTCAACTTGCTTCCTCAACTTCTTGTCATGTTTTCCATTCCTAAAGCAAAGAAAGAAGAAACTAATAACATGGGTCCAGATTTACTATGGACCAGTCTCTGGCTGGACCCTTTACCTACTATTACAAATGCAATTCCCTCAGCAGCCCTATGGAGATAAGAGACCCAGTTACAGAGGAGAAGAGGGAAGCTCAGAGAGGGTACATGACTTGCCCCAGCACACACAGCTGGGAAGAGACGAAGCTGGCATTTGACCCCAGCTATGTCTGAGCCCTAAGCCTGTGTCCTTTCCGCCATACCAGGAGGCCTCAAGGCTTGGGCAGATGCTAAATTCTCTGGGCTCACTTCAACACTTAACACACACTCCTCTAAAGTATTTATCTCCATATATTATAATTACATACATATCATTGTCAATCACCCCTTCCAAAAAGCGAGCTGCTAGGATTCCCAGGTTTGGATCCTAGCTCTGCCACTTACTAACTACGATGCCTTGAGCAAGTGATTGGATTTCTCTGAGCTTCAGTCTCTTCATCTGTAAAATGAAAACAACTGCAGAAACTATCTCAAAGGGTGGCTGGAAGGATTAAATGTAAAAGCACTTAGCAGAGAGCCTGGCACATGGTGAATGTATGATAAATGACAACTAATAGTAGTGTGTCTCTGGGGTGTGCAGGCAAGCACCACTTCCAAGCCCGGCTGGAAGCCAGGCACCAGAAACAGCATCAGCCAATCACAGCAGAGCCCACCTGCAGTGTCTGCACAGCTGCTGACAGGAGCAGGTGACCCTGGGCGCAGCCTCCATCCTCCTTCTTCTTGTGCTCACAGAGTCTTAGCTCCAAACCACCACCTCCACACCCTTAAGAGTTGCCCTGAAATGCAACTGCTTGGAAGTGAGACTTTGAACCCACATCAATGCCCTTCTCAAAGGCCCATCACTGAAGAATAGGATCCTGCAGAGGGCTTTGGAAACTCAAGACACAGAAACTCCTCCATCCGTATTCTGACCGCCTTCCCTGCTCTACCGTTTCCTGGGGAAAACTGTTAGCTTCACTTTTCCCACATACAAAGTGGGAGTCAGTCTGTGTATATAAAAGGGAAGAAATGACTTTGACATTCATTATTTGACACTATTGTTCAACCCAAAAGTCAAGGTGGCCTTTCCGCTTACCTGTTTTACTGCATCCAGCAGTCGCTCCAGCAGAAATTGTCTTTTGTCATTGTTCTGTGCTCCTAAAATGCAATGAGGCTTAATTAGTTCTGTTTGATGTTAGCCTTCTATTAAGACTTTTTGACACTATAATGCCTGGCTGTCCCCAACTAGGATCAGTCCTTTGCTATTGATCTCTCCCAAAATCAATAGCAAGACTAGGTACCAAGGATCTACATCATTACAATGAAGTTTGACCATTTGCCTGTTACTGCATCATAGGAAAACAGATAAACTAATGGCAGTTGTCAGCTGTCCAAGCTACCACTGATGCTCCACAAGAGGCCCAATGACTTCGATCAACAGAGACATGGCTGTGGATTATGATGCACCAGACATAGAGCACAGTCCTTTCAAAGGATACTCAAATTCCAAGTTGCAGGAACAGATGCTCCACACCGCAGGCACCGAATTGCCACCAAACTGCTTCCCTCTCGGGCAACTCTATGTGAGCTGCACCAAAGAGGAACAATAGGGGATTGCCACAGAGATGGTCAGTGATTCCTCCAAGTTAAGCCAGGGCCAGCCAGGTGATGGCACTCCCTGCGTGCCAGGCACTAAACTCAGCACTCTGCATGCACTGTGTCTTTTTTTTTTTTTTTTTCCTTTTTGTCTTTTTTACTGACCGGTAACAGGATCACAACCCTCGGTGTTGCGCCCGCACCGGGGACCGGCAACGGGACCGCAACCCTCGGTGTTGCGCCCGCACCGCGCTCAGCCAGTGAGCGGGAACCGGTCTCCACATGGGATCCGAACCCTCAGCGGGAGCGCCAACCGGCGCACTTCTCCAGTGCGCCACCGGGCCGGCCCGCACTGTGTCTTTTAATCTCCACAACCACCCTACAACCCAGGATCCCATACTATGGCTGGGGAAACCGAAGCTCAGAGAAGACAAGTAATTGTATGTATTGACCCACTCAGGATTTATTTAACTTCCACTGTGTGCCAAGCAATGTTCTAAGTGCTGGGGACACAGGTATAAATGGTATAAAAGAGCCATTTTCTGATGGAGCTAAAATTCTGTTAGGAAGAAACAAATAGCGTATAAGTAACTAATAAATAAGATGATGTTAGAGTCATACTAGGAAAAGAAACCAAAGAGTCATGAGATAGGGAGGAAGCAAGAGGGCCGCTTTAGCCACAGGTGACATTTGAACTGAGCCCTCTATAAAGAAAAGGAGCTTCCCCGGAAAGATAAGGAAGGCCAGCAGTCCACGCAGAGCAAACTGCAAGGGGAGAGGCTCAGCAGCAGGACAAGCTTGGCTTCTGGTCTTCCAGGACTAAAAGTGACTTGAGCAAAAAGCAAAAAACAGGAAGGAGAGAGCAGACAGGCAGGCAGGGACCAAGTCACATAGGGTGCTGTCCAGTCACATAGGGTCCTGTGGATCATGATAAAGGGTTTAGATTCTGTTCTAATTTGATTATTAACTGGTAGAGCTGTGATCCTGACTCAAGACCGTGCGCCTTGAAAGCCCATATTGAGATCACCACACCAAGGCTCCAGCCTTATTCCAGGCCTGGCAATAAAACCAGTCAATAGATACTCTGAGACATAAATAAAACAGCTGACTCCTCAAATATTACCACTACTATTTTTTCTGGAAGATGTTTCTTTTGTCGTTGTTATTTTCTTCTTGGAAGAGGTTTGAATAAAGGATAGTCTACACACCATTCTCACCAGACATGAGGCCATCTGGAAGCATCATTCAGGATAGTGACAAATCCACCTGCCCAAGGCCGTCCAACACCTCTCTTGACACCTGTGTCTATCAATAAACCCCACTCTTTGTTTAGCCGAAGGTTTAGTTTCTGCTCTTCCCTCCATAACACCAGAACAGAGAAGTCAGGCTCTCTTCCTTCCTTTTTCCAAGTACTAAACCCAACTACTCTACTTGCCTTTGGACAATGCCAACTGGAACTTGACAGGGCCCCCACCACCACTGCCTTTGCTTTTTTTTCTGATCATAAAAGTAATTCATTAAAAAAAAAAAAAAAAAAAAACACAATTATAACAAATCAGGAAAAAATGTACAAAGAAAATAAAAATCTCTATCATCTGACTACTAATAATTTTTTAATACAGTGCCTCGCAAACTTTAATGTGCACGCAGATCTCCTGGGGATCTTGTTAGAAGGTAGGTTCCGATTCAGAAGGTCAAGAGTAGGGGTCTGAGATTCTGTATTTCTCACAAGCTTCCAGGTGATGCTGACACTGCTGGTTCCTGACCTACACTGAACTGCAAGGATTTAGCACCTACCTGTCCTGATATACACAATGATCCTGGATATTTTCTGTGGTAGTTTGTTGTACTGCTTGTTCTGGATATGATGTCAGCAGTTTCCTCTGCCTTACCTTGCAAAGTCTCTTTGCATGATGGGGAAAAAAGGCTATGCTCTCTCTAAAAACAACTGAGGTTGTACAGGTTTCAGCTCAGAGGCTCACCCTCCCTGGCTGCAATCTCTCTCTGCAGGTGAGATGCACACAAGACAATGTTGACCTCAGAAAGGGCTCCTGTGGCCATCTTAGCCCTGACAAGGGCTTAAGAAAAGAGGGTCTCATTGGATACAGGGAGCACAGGTGGGTTCGGGAGGTGCCCAGAAAGACCCCTGGCTATGAGGAGTAGTGGAAGGAGCACTGAGCGGAAAGTCACAAGGCATAAGCTTTCATCCTGTCCATGAGAATTCATGCTTGTGACTTGCTGGCCATGTGACAAGGACAATCACTTCCCTTCTCTGGGCACTGGTTGCTGCATGAGATCATGCCCTCCTAGCTCTACGGTCTGTGAACGTGGGGACTCCGCGGAGACAGGCAGGCAGAGCAATCAGTGTTCTCTCTTACCTTCTCCCAGTGATAAAGCAGAAAATACAGCACTCCCCTCATCCCCCCAGGAGCAGGGAGCCGATGCCCACCTACTGAGCCCCAAGTATGGACTAAGTCATTAAATGACTGACTTATTCAATCCTTGACAAAGAAAGAAAAGTGGCTTCAGTCAATAGAGAGAACTGAGGCTCATAGAGGAAATGAACCGTACCCAAGGCTAGACCCACAGGAAGTAGTCAAGGAGGGATTCAATTCTAAGTCTGCCAGCTCCTGGCTCTGTCATCTGCTGAGTCTCGCTCACCCTCGACCCCTATAACAAAACTGCAGCTACAGCCCACTGCAAGTTCAGAGTTTGGGAAGGGCCAAATCCCAGTCTTCCTGCTTCCTCCCCTCTCCAGGGGCAGCTCCCACCCAACACTGTCAACCAAGGAACCAGAAAAGGCCTCTTTTTCATTTCTTGTTAGATTACCACCAGAATGAAGATATAAAGTGGAAAAGAGCCCCGGGGAATACCTCCAGGAGTCCACAAACGTGTCTGAGAAAAGCAGACTCTTTAACTCAGAAATCACACGTGCAAGTAGAAGTCAATCACCTGGTTCAGGTGCATCCCCACTGTCTCTCTGTCTTTAATGTTTAGAGTCCTTCAGATCTAATACTCAATTCAACATTTACAATCCTTAAGGTCCTACATTAGTTTTCTTTGTTTTTTTGTTTTTTTTTTTTAAAGATGACCGGTAAGGGGATCTTAACCCTTGACTTGGTGTTGTCAGCACCATGCTCTTCAAGTGAGCAAACCGGCCATCCCTATATTGGGATCCAAACCCGTGGCCTTGGTGTTATCAGCACCACACTCTCCCAAGTGAGCCACGGGCCAGACCCTACATTAGTTTTTACCATAAACCTCTAGGCTTCTGCCTGGGGTCTCCACTCAAGCTACAGTTACTTCTTCAAAAGAGCAGAAGTTAAGGGCCGGCCCGTGGCTCACTCGGGAGAGTGTGGTGCTGATAAAGCCAAGGCCGCGGGTTTGGATCCCATAGAGGGACGGCCGGTTAGCTCACTGGGTGAGTGTGGTGCTGACAACACCAAGTCAAGGGTTAAGATCCCCTTACCAGCCATGTTTAAAAAAAAAAAAAAAGAGAAGAAGTTAAGAACAGGAGAGCCAGGTTCAGATCCTACTCCACCAACCATGTGATCATGGGCAAGTTACTCAACCTCATTGAGTGAATGTATATTGTACACGTAGTACAGTGCCCAGTATATACCAAATACTTCGTACATGTTAGCTATCATTATTGCTGTTGTCAGCAACCTACACCCCAGAGGCATCAAGATTTCTGGCTCCAAGAAGTCCTTTCAACTATTTACCTTCTCTCCAGAGTGTGGGCAAAGCAATCCAATCCAGTCCTCTGTGTTCACCGGGGGTAAAAAGGTTAAAGAGGGTCCCTGGCATGTGGGGGGAGAAAAATGAGCAAGATGCAACCAGGCACTCTACATACATTCCTTCTTTAATCCTTGCAACAACCCTGGAGGTCCAGGTAAACATGGTCCCCATTCCACAGAGGAAGTTAGGTCCCTTGATCAAGGCCACATGCATATTAAATAGTGGTATTTCCCTGCTTCTTGATGCACCAGCAGAGGCAAAGTCATGCCAGACATTTCTCTGGTCTAAGGCTAATTGTGACATCCTTGCAATGTACCAAGCATGAGGGAGAAAAGATAAAGGCAGCAACGTTTTTTGGGTGCCCACTGTGTGCCAGGAATTCTGCCAGTGGTAACATGGCAAAGTAAGTGTGCATTAGAGGCTGAGGACCTGGTCTCTCTCTCTCAGGCAAGTGTCCTTCCACCAGACCACACTGTCATCCTGTTGGGGGACCAGAGGATGCTGACTGAAAAAGCAGGAACCTGGGCTGTGTTTTCAAAAATAGGAAGGGCCAGGTAAATCCATAGAGACAGATGCAGACAGGTGAGTGCCAGGGCTTAGGGGTTGGGGGTGGAATGGGGAGCAACTGCTAATGAATATGGGGTTTCCTTAGTGTGATGATAATGTTTTGGAACTAGGCAGAGGTTGAGTTGCACAACATTATGAATGTACTAAACGCCACTGAATTGCTCACTTTAAAACAATGGTTAATTCTAAGTTATGTGAATTTCACCTCGACAAAAAAATATCCTTATGAGACGGACTGCAACACGTAGATCCTG